GACGGGACTGGGAATACGAATATCCCATCTTTAGTAAGCCTGTTGGAAGGAACACAGAAGTTTATTGGTGAGTATCTATTAAATTGCTTTTGAATTGAATTGATGCTTTTGAATTGTGGTGTTGGAGGAGGCTCTTGAGAGTCCCCTGGACTGCAAGGAGAACAAACCTATCGGTTCTAAATGAAATCAACCTTGAGTGCTCACTGGAAGGGCAGATCCTGAAGCTGAGGCTCCAATACTTTGGCCATCTCATGAGAAGAGAAGACTCCCTGGAAAAGCCCCTGATGTTGGGAAAGTGTGACGGCAAGAGGAGAAGGGGACGACCGAGGATGAGATGGCTGGACAGTGTCATCAAAGCAACCAACATGAATTTGACACAAGTCCGGGAGGCAGTGGAAGACAGGAGGGCCTGTCATGCTGTGGTCCATGGGGTCATGAAGAGCCAGACACGACTAAATGACTACGATCTATCAAATTACATTTGTTTTTTTAAAAAGCAAAGGAAAGTGTGCTGCTTACATTTTTGTTGTTTAGTCATTATAAGGGATTTGGTTTAGATTACTGTATGTTTCTGTGCTGTGTTATCTAGTTTTTGGATTTGTGTGTGTGTGTGTTTGCTGTCCCAGCGTGGCACTTGCTCTGTTTATTTTTATTTTTTGTATTTTTTTGAAATGCTGGAACGGATTAATCCCGTTCCCATGCATTTCAATGGGAAATGGTGCTTCAACTTACAAACATTTCAACTTACGAACGCCGTTCCAATACGTATTAATTTCGTAAGTCGAGGTACCACTGTAGTTCTCTATTTTTGAAAACACACACTGTAAACTTCACCCTGGATGAAGTAGTTCTGACTACCCAGAGCTGGAGAGTGAGAACCACAACTGTTGGATGCATTCAAAAGAAACTTATACTGTACAACCACCTGGAAAAATATCCTTTGATTTGTATTCCTGCATTGAGCAAGGGGTAGGTCTCAATGGCCCTATAGGCCTCTTCCAGCTTCATAACATATTCTGTTTATTCTATTCTAACTCGCAGTGTCCCCTCTGCTGATTAGACGATTCTGGGATTTGTAGTCCAAAAGTAGCTTTTTTTAAAAGCTCTGAGTGGACATCATTCTGGACCTGGGCCAGCCAAAAAAAATGCATATACAGTAAACCTCTTTTACCAAATTTTCCTTCCAAAGTTTGACAGCAGCTTGCCGTGACTGGTACAAGTAAAATGCTGGTGCTCTGTCTATATAACACAGAAATTCTGAACAAACTGCTGCTAACCTGTGTGCTTTCTTCATTTTCTTTCTCTCTGCCCTCCAATCCCCTTAATATCCTTGAATTATGTATATACTTTTAAAAATGATGCTTTGTGCCCTCCATGAGGGGGGGCAGGCACTAAGACCTTAGGCTTTTGCACCTTCTTTTACAAAAATAGCCACCAAAAGGCATTTTCAGATTTTAAAAACTTTCTAAAAGAAAAATATTCTGTGGGTGGGCAGGGCATGGGAGTAAGCATACCATTCCCCTAAGGTTTGGGTTATCTGTAGGCGTAGCCCTCAGAAGCTGGCATTTCCCCACTCCTCTTTTGCTGACGTGGAGGTCATGGGACAAAAATGGCTGCTGTTGAAGGAGCATGGTATCTAAAGGCAGCCAAGTTATTCCAACACATGATGCTAAACACACCACAAATTCCCCTTGTTCACCAGCAGCGAAAATACAATAGTATTTTAAATTGTTAGTCCTTTGCCACCCTTACATGACATATAAACCTCATTACTTGTGGTGGCAGCCTCTTGACTCTACTAGATGCTGTGGCTTCTGATGATCTGGAGGACTGTGTTGTCACCAGGCCTATCATTGTTTATTCAGTAACTGGGTCCTGGCTACCCCTGAAAATTAATCTGGCCTGGCCACAGGTTAGCCAAAAAGATTGGTGGAGCTTTCATCACCCAGATGGGTGGATTAGCATCACTAGCATTCGGTTTATAACAACATAATTACTAGAGATAACCAGAGTAATGATAAAAGTCCTCTTTTAGGTAGCTTTGAATTTATAGTCTGACTGGTAGCTTCCGTCTGCTGGTGATGGTGGAAAGAACTGCACCACCTGATGCGAGAGCAATATCCTAATGCCCCTGAGAAGAAGAATACTGTAGTTCCATTGCGAAGGCATTGTTTGTATGCAGAAGGTCCTGGTTTCAGTCCTGGTGAAGGGAGAAGGGCTCCCTGGATGAAAACCTGGAAAGCTACTGCCGGTGGGGGCAAAACAGTAGAAGGGAGAAGGGCTCCCTGGATGAAAACCTTGAAAGCTACTGCCAGTGGGGGCAAAACAGTAGTGAGCTAGATAGAGCAATGGTTTGTCCATTTGATTATTTTCAGAGTGGTAAATCTGCTCCTAGTTTTCGCTTACACTTTATTGGAGTTATCCATGGTGTAAAAACCTGTCCCCAGAATAGGTTCAGCAGCTATGATTCACTGCACCAGGAAACTGGAGTCATAAAGAGAGTGTTGCATGACCTTAGCAAGCAACCAGAAAGGTGTACATTTCTCTCTTGGCATCCCAGTAAAATATTTATGCATTTTAGCTGTTTGGGTCTATATAAATAGAGATACTGCTAATGTAGTCATGTGTACTTGACTTACAGAGCCTCGTGGTGCATTTTTTAGATTGTATCCCAGTACAGCATTTCCCACTCTTTTGTTGACTATGAGGTCTACTCCATTTCTTCTATGGGATTCTTGCCATTTTTCACTGCATGGGCACCTGAAAATAGCCGCCCCTATGGAGGATCTTCGCTGGACAGTGAGTTCTTAGCCGATTGGAACGCATTAATCAGGTTTTAATGCGTTTCAATGGCTTTTTTATTTTCGCTTTACAACATTTTCATTCTGCAGCGATTTCGCTGGAACGAATTAACATCGTAATGCGAGGCACCACTGTACATAATTATTAATGTTATATGGCCTAATATAGTTTACAGTTCGTTGGATAGCTAATTGAGCTGGGTCTCTAGCTGCAGAGCCTGAGGGAGGAAGTCTGGAGCAAGTCCTCACTGGGCCTCCTGGGACAAAAGCCAGCCTGTGTAGCCTTGAGCGACCTGCAGAGTCCTAGAGCACCATCAGAAGAAGGGAAAAGTAAACCAGTTCAGAGTACTTTATACCTAGGAAACAAAAGAAAACTTATCATAAGCTGAATTCAACTTGACAGTCGTATTTAGTCAGAACTCTCCACTATGACCTGTCCATCTTGGGTGTCCCTGCACAGCATAGCCCATAGCTTCTCTGAATTACTCAAGCCCCTTCGCCACGACAAGGCAGCAACCCGTGAAGGGGAATTTGAAGGTACAGTGGTGCCTCGCAAGATGGGCGCTCCGTTTAATGATGACTCCGCATTACGCTGGGACAAAAGCCAGCCTGTGTAGCCTTGAGCGACCTGCAGAGTCCTAGAGCACCATCAGAAGAAGGGAAAAGTAAACCAGTTCAGAGTACTTTATACCTAGGAAACAAAAGAAAACTTATCATAAGCTGAATTCAACTTGACAGATCGTAATTAATTTTAAAAATATACTTCCCTGCTAGGGATGCTGGAATATAAGTCCAACTAATACTGTATATAAATAGGAGATTTCTAGGACAAGCACAAGAAAACAAATCAGATCTTGCTCTGGGAACTTGATTTTACATCACAAGTCCCAGAGTCCCCTAAACCATTTTATGCTGGGTGGGAGATTCTGGGAATATAGTTTAGAGAAAGAAAGCATTTTCCAATATTTTGGAAAAAAAATGGGTTGGGGGGTTCCCACCCAGAAAGGGCCAGATCCCATATCTTTATGGGAGCAGATATGTAGCCCATGTCCGATTTCTGAAAGGAGAGCACTTATCTGCTTTAAAAACCTCAACTCATACTCACACTTCACACAAGCAGGTTGGCCAGGCTGACAGCCTTTCAGGCCATAATTTAACAACAATATTACTGTCAAATTTGACAATATGCTGTCAAATCAATTCTGAGTTGTGGATATGGGAATGAGTAAATTAACTTGTGAAACAAAGATTAGAAGAGGAATGGTGAAATACAGTATATGGGTTTTAAACAAATATGGAGCTTGTTTTTGGTACATGTGTTTCAGAAAGGCAAGAGGTATACACCCGGAAAAGAACCAATGTCTTACTAGAGTGAAATTGGGCAATCTGAAATATAACAATGAACATGGAACTACGGGTATTCCTGAATGGGGATGGGTTGCACAGAGTGAAGTACTGTAAAGGGATCATGTGATAATGTAGTGATTTTTATAATGGTAGATTTTTCATTTTTGTTGTTTTTTTTTAAAGAAAAAAGTGAATTCTGAGTTACCGCGACCATTTCTAGGGTTTGTAGAGAGCACTCAGAAATGGGGGAATCCTGGGACTGTGCCGCTTGCCCAAGGCCACCCAGGCTGGCTGTACTCGCAGGAGGCACAGCGGGGAACCGAACTGCCAATCTCTGACGCTGCAGCCAAATTATCAAATCATCGCCACATACTTAGGGGCAGGAAAACTCTTAACTTGTCGCCCAGGGGGGCACTGAAATCGGGATGCGATTCTATTGGTGCTAAGAAAATAAATCTGCACACCACCCGTCCGGATTTATTGCTTCTTTTCTTCTTTTCCTTTTGGGAAGGAAAACGCTTTTGCCTTTACTTCCCCAAAGGAAAAGGCGAGGCGAAAGAAAGGGCTGCGCCGCTGGCCGCGGGTGGCCAAACGGCCGGCCAGGCTCCGCAGCCAGCCCTTCGCGGAGCCGGGGAGCTGCCGGGAGGACCGCCGCTTCAGCCTGCGCCTCCTCCTTCCCTGGCGCTCGGTCCGCTCGGCGGGCGCCGCTCCAGCGAGTGTTTACACGCCCCGAAAAGGCTGGGGGAAGGCGGCGCCTCCGCTTCGTCGCCCTGCGCTCGGGGCTGAGGCGCTTCGGAGAGCGAGGGGGCGGCCTTGGGTGTCGGCGGGACGACCCGCGCTGTGTCTTCCTCGCCCTTTTTGGAGGAGAAAAAAAAAGGCGGCGCCCCCCCCTCCCCGCGCGCTCTCTTTGCATCGAGGCCAGCGGGGCATTATTCCCTTCCCGTCTCTCTCAACCGGGGCAAGCTGCTTTTCGCTCCCTCTGGCAAGACCGGCCGGTGGTGGTGGTGGTGGGGCCCTCGGCGAAGCGCGGGAGGAACCTCCGAGGGGCGAAACCGAGGGCGAAGAGTCGGCTGCCAAGCGCTGCCTGGGACCCGAGGCGCGGCAACGAGGACTCCGCCATGCCCGAGGGCGCGCCAAGGTCCGACCCGTGACTGGCGCACGCAACAGGCTGCCTTTTCCCTGAGGGAGGCAAGCGAAGCATGACGCGCTCCCGGGTTCCCTCCTGCCGCCGCCGCCGCCGCTGGCCCGGGCTGCCCTCGGCCCTGCTCCACACGCTGGTGTTGCTGGGCGTGGCGTCGGGGCACCCGCAGTGCCTGGACTTCAAGCCGCCGTTCAAGCCGCCGCGCCCGCTCACCTTCTGCGTCCAATACTCAGACTTCGGCTGCTGCGACGCGCAGCGCGACGCCGCCCTCCTGGAGCGCTACTACGGCGTCAGCGGGCACCTCGACCAGGCCGCCTACGCCGCCTGCGCCAGCCACCTGCAGGACCTCCTCTGCCAGGTGAGCCCCGGCTGGGAGGGTGAGATGGGAGTTGGCTGCCAGCCTCTCTCCCTCCTTCCCTCCCCTGTGCTGAGCCTTCCAGAGAGGCCAACTCGGCTCCTTGCTTTCAGAGCTTGGACACGTTTCTCTTCCGGACTACAACACCCACAATCCCCAGTCAGCCTTAGCCTTGCTGAGCCTCTTCTGACCTAAACGTGCCAATCTTGAGATAAATGGATGGTGTGGATGGCTAGGTAGCTCCGTGGTTTAGGAAGAGGTAGGATTTCGGTTCCTCGCTGCGCCTCCTGTGAGAAGAGCCAGCCTGGATCGCTTTGGGCAAGCTGCACAGTCGCAGGGCAGTCCCAGAAGAAGGGAAGGGTACACCACCTCTTGAGTATTGTCTACCTGGAAAACAGTGAAAAGGGTTGCCATAAGTCAGAATGCACTTGACCACAGATGTTGTTACTGGAGGGCTAGAACTCGGGGTGCATGAAAGAGCAGTAATATGGAAAGTTTTTTTGTTTGTTTTTAAGTTACAGTACTTTTGTAACTTGCATCCCTCTCTTTGATTGATTGCTAGTGATACCACATACACACACACAAAAAATAATGGCTTGTTAACCTTGCTGGAATGCCATTGCTAGAATGCTGGCTGCTTTTTTATTACTTCTTCATTCCTTGGTTTTTAAAAATAATTTAAAAAAATTTTATAGCCTAAACGTGGGTGAGAAAATTGAAAAAGAACATGCGTATTCATTACTCAAGTGGTTCTGAGAAGCCAGAAATACACTGCCTCAGGAACAGTAGTAGGCTTGGGTAGATCTGTGCTCCAAAACCTGATAGGTCAATCCTCTAAGATCTGCCAGGTTTGGCAGGGGAGAATTATCCTATATACAGTATGTGTTCGTCTTCACTATATTTATCATTAAGTGTGAATGTGATCTCTACCTCTACCCTAGAGGCAAATGTCCCTGGTGTCTTAATTGTCCCTCTCATAGGATTTGCAAAGAGAAGGGTCCAGCTGACACCAGCATCCTGTCTGGTGGACTCTTTGGGGCTAGATAACCTGGTCAAGGACGCATAGAATGTTGTTCTCCTTTTCTTCCTGCTATACCAACAGATTAAGTCAGGTGCCATATTTCCTTGACCTGTGAAATGTGAGCGCTATCATTCCACATGTCTGTATATGAGAAAGAGAGAGGGAATGAGAGAGTTATCACAGTCGCCTTGGAAAACTAACTGGACTAAATTCATGCCTCACTTTTACTCCATGGATTAATACCGGTGTCCTGTCAGTTTTTCCTAAGCCACAAGCTTTTCTCCAGCTGAATGAATGTACTTTCTGTTTCTCATTTTTTAAGGCCAGGTGTTAGCAGTGGTTCTCTTTCCCTGCTAGGTACTTTGTTTTGCACATGGTAATGCCATTTTGCCAAAATGGCAATGCCCTCTCTTAATAGCAAAATCTCAGTAATTAATTAAAAATGTTGCAACCATTTCCATCTTTCTCACTCCTCAGTGCTTTTTAAAGTCCTGTTTGCATCCCTTTGCCTTTGCAGGATCTGTGCCAGGTGTTCACTAGAAAAGAGAACATAGACATTTCATATGCTGATACATTAGTTATTCCCATTTCACCTCATAGTTGGATTGCCATAAGACGTACATTTCGTCTAATGCTAAAGGCATTTTGAAGACTGATGGGTTTTATTGGGCACAAACCTTCATGAACTGCAGCCCATTTGATCTCAAACTAGTGAGCTGCAGTCCATAAAAATGTATACTGAATAAAACTTGTTACTTTTTGTGGTGGCCCAAGAAACTTTCTCATTTTCTACAGCTACCCCCTGGGTATGGAGAGCAAGCTAATGTGATGCCAGTACTGGCCATGAAAGTTGCACAACTGAGGAATGTGTAGTTGGGCTGAATAGAGAGTCAAAGGCACATCTATTGTAAGGATCAGTTTAAAGCCTCGAAGTGCAGAATAGCTTTAGTTAAAATCCCACATTGTATTGCTTGCCATATTACAGATGTGATAAGTTAGGGGGCAATAGATGGATGTCTGTTGTTTGTGCCATGTTTTTCACTGATCCTTTTGATATTTATTAACACCAGTTGCAAGAAGATCCAGTCTTTTGGCATAAATATTGGCTTCTTTTGGGTAGTGTTTTTCTTTTGGGTAGTGTTTTTCTTTGCATTAATTTGTGTTGTTTTTGACATGTTTAATCACTTATATTGGTCCTTTACGGTTGTTGTTGAACACATCCACTCTGATGCACAGGGTGGTGTGTGCAGTGTGAGTGTGAACCTTATTCCTTTTGGCTGCTTTCTGCTCACACTACAACTGCAATACAATTTGTAAATTGTATTTAAAAATATATACAGTGGTGCCTCGCTAGACAGTTACCCCACATGACAGTTTTTTCGCTAGACATTGACTTTTTGCGATCGCTGTAGTGATTCCTATGGGGGAATTTCGCTGGACAATGTTTGGTCCCTGCTTCGCAAACCAATTTTCGCTAGACGACGATTTTGACAGCTTCCTCCGTGCTCGCAAAACAGGTGTTTTCGGGGCCTAAGCTTCGCAAGACAGCGATTTAAACAGCTGATTGGCGGTTTGCAAAGTGGCTTTCCTATGGCCGATCTTCGTTAGACAACGACAATTCTTCCCCATTGGAACGCATTAAACAGGTTTCAATGCATTCCAGTGGGGAAAATGCTTTTCGCTAGACAATGATTTCTCTAAACAGTGATTTAAGTGGAACGGATTATCATTGTCTAGTGAGGCACCACTGTATATTTTTCTCCCAATTTAACAATATACTCTTTGGGCCAGATGAAGGTTTGTGCTCTATGCCCATGCCTAGGCTTGTCAAGGACACACGGAGAACTGTTTTCTTTCCTTCCCTGTTATACTGTACCTACTGGCCTGGTAAGGCACAACATTTTCGCCTTACCTCAGCCTTTAGCTATAGCACTAAACTGATGCAGCACTAATTCATATACTTACCATGTCTTGTCAGTTCAGTGCTATTTCACTTGCTAAAAGTTTTATTGTTATTGTTGTTAAGAAGGGATTTGAATGCTGGTGAAAGGGATGGATAAGAGGGTGCAGATGATCGCAGAGATGGATAAAGGAGAAGGGGAATCGTGTGATGAAATGCACCTTCCTGTGATTCTTTCCCTGTGAATGACAGCAGCAATTTAAATTCCAGGGTGCTGTATAGAGAAGCTGGCATCAACCAAGACAAATACTATTACAGTGGTGCCTTGCTTGACGCCATTAATTCGTTCCAGCGAAATCACTGTAGAGCGAAAATGTTGTCAAATGAAATTTTTAAAAAAACATTGAAACGCATTGAAAACCGTTCAATGCGTTCCAATGGGCTGAATACCTGCTCGACCAGTGAAGATCCTCGATATGGTGGCCATTCTCTGGTGCCTGTTAAGCGAAAAAGCCTTCCTAAAAACAGCAGGGGGGCATTTTCTTCAGCTGGTGGCCATTTTGAAACCTGACGATCAGCTGTTTGCTGATAGTCGTGAAGCGAAAATCGGTTCCCAAAGCAGGGAACCGATCATCACACAGTGAAAAAACCCCATTTAAAACATTGTTTTGCGATCGCAAAAACATCAACTTAAGGCGGATTCGTCGTAGAGCGGGGTACTCGTCCAGTGGGGCACAACTGTACATTGTATTTATAATTATATATGGCGCTGGGTGTGTATGCAGTCGGCAGTGCTGCAGTGGGACTGAGCTGATAGGATCCAAGCACTGAGGGTCAAGAAAGTCAGCTGTCACCATCCCTCAGATGTCCTTGTTCTCTTTCATCTTAAATGGAATCTTCACAGTAGCTCATGAAGAATTATTATTTTTTTCCTCAGTAATAATACATTGTTGTGAGCTATCTGTACTGGAGGAGCCAGTGCAGTGTGGTGGATAGACTGATGGACTACAACTCAGAAGGCTGGGTTCAAATCCCTGCTGTGCTATAGAGATTCACTGGGGAATGGCAATGGTAAGCCACTCCTTAGAACATCTCCTACCCTTAAAAGTCTGTTGACACGTTTGTAATGCAAAGTACTTCGAAGAGCAGACCTGTTTGTGGTGGAACTGCAGCAGTTTCTCTTCTTTCTTTCTTTTTTTAAAGTTTTATTTTAGGGGTTAGGATTAAGGATGAGGACAGGGGACATGGAACTAAACAGGGGTTGTAAATCAACATGAACATTTTACAATTTTCATTCTTATCTGTTACATTTCAAAGATACGTAAGTTTCCGGTGCAACTAATTTATCATACATATTCTAAGTTTAAATTAATTTTAGGCTTTCAATTATCAAATATTAATTTACATTCTATTTCTAAGCCAATTGTAAAAAATTATGCCAACGATCTTCATGGTTTTTCTTTCTTGTTGAGTCTAGCCATTCTGATAGTTTGTCCATCTCTGCCATGTCCAGGATTTTTGCTATTAACTCATCTTGAGGTGAGCAGTTTCTCTTCTTGAAGTCAGAGCTACAGGTACTGTTATGATGAACATCTCCATTTCAAAATGTACTTCTGCCCCGCTGCTAATAAGTCATTTCCTGTGTTACTCTTCTTGTGTCTCAAGAAGCTGCATCATCCACAGTGATGGAGTAAGGGGAACAGAAGGCTCCTCTTTCAGGCATCCATTATGTTTATGTGTGCATCTTACAGCAGATGAATAATTTATGGGACTCTATTCAGTAGATTTAGGTCCTGCATCTCAGATTCACAGATGGCAATTTTCCTCAAAATGTATTCATTAGTCATATTATTTTGACAAGTGTCTTTGTGTATCAGTGTGAATACTTCGAATTCCATCTTTTCCTATATTAAGTTGTGGTTTATCACTTGACATTGTTTCAGTTTTGGAATGGAGTGAATCATCAATCACATTGCCATGTTTGCTTATTTCTGTGTTGCTGGCAGTAGCTGAGAATAAATGGTCACAAGGCAATGTGGTTTCTCCTAGTAATGCCTCTGTTACTGAGTGTTGCAAGAAGCG